TAAATGTTCCAACCACCTGGCTTGTCGCCTGCTAAGGGAGCATTGTTTCAGTAAATACGTAAGTGAGTGGTGGTCACTCATCACGTTGACCTTCATACCCAACAGGATCATTCACCATTTTTGAAGTGCGTGAATTACCGCTAGTAGCTCCTGCTCATGTACTGGGTAGTTTCGTTCTGCCACCAACATTTGGCGAGACTCGTAGGCAATTGGGTGTGCCGTCCTCCACTCTCTACCCTGAAGCAACGCGGCGCCTAATCCCGTCCCACTAGCGTCTGTGAACAACCACAGCGGGTCAAGGGATTCATAGTCGATGTTCTTGAGACAAGGCAACGAAGTCATGATATTCTTGATGTTCTTAAACGCTTCTTCTTCAGCTTCTCCCCATTTAAATTGTTTTGGATCTAGTTTGCTGCTCGTCAACAGAGTCAATTTACCTACATACTTCTCCAACCCTGAGACAAACTTCTTCATCCATTGTACTGTCCCCAAAAACTTTCTCACCACTTTTGATGACTTCGGCGACGTCCATGACTTGATTTGTTCAACTTTCTCCTCGTCTGGCCTCACCCCTTCTTCTGAGATGACATGTCCAAGGAACTTGACCTCCCGGCGAAAAAGTTTCGTTTTCTTTCTGCTGCAGTACAAGTTAGCAGCCCTTAGTCGCTCCAATACGAGTTGAACATGACGCTTGTGTTCTTCAACGTTGGAAGAAAATACCACGATATCGTCGAGATAAACCACACAAACGGTGTTGATGAGATCTCCAAGCGCCTCTTCCAGTAGAGCTTGGTGAGTGGCTGGGGCGTTTGTCAATCCCATGGGCATCACGCACCATTCGTAAAGTCCCCAAGGGGTCTTCACCGCAGTCAGTGGAATATCCGCCTCTCTCATTTGAGTCTGGAAAAAAGCATTAGTTTGGTCCAAGATGGAAAAAACTTTTCCCGTGGCAACCAGTCTGACCAACTTGTCCACCTTTGGGAGCGGTGAACGGTCCATGACGGTCATACTGTTCAAGGTGCGGTAATCGCATACCCACCTTGGAAGTTCCGAAGGGTCCTTCTTTGGGATGATGAGGCTTGGTGACGCATATTGACTCGTTGATAGTCGAAGCCGTCCCGCGTCTAGATGTTGATCCAATAACTTTTGCCAAGCACCATGATGTTTCGGTGGATATGGATATTGACGCTCATTGATAACAGCATTAGGATTTGTCAGTACTATCTTATGACGGACTTGTGATGACGGATGTTGTAATTTTTCAGGGAATGAACCATCCACAAACTCGCCCTTCGCCTCAGCTTCATCCGAAATAGCCGGTATATCTGCTGGGAAGATGTCCTCAAACTGCATCATCAGTGATTCTTCAAAGACCTTCCACGTCACAGGCTCAGTGTTTTACATGGCTCATTCTTCTGTCTCAGATCTTTCTCCCAATCTCTCCACTTATCACTCTCATGATTCTCAGCTATTGACGCCATCTTCTCATTGCACTCCTCTTCAAACTTTTTCTTCAAATTCATTTCATGACGATAGTCCAACAGTAAGACACCTGACTCTTCACGCACTACAGCTTTCTTTGCACACAAAACAGCTAATTGATGACGACACAAGAATGGAGCACCCAGAATCATATCAAATGAACCGTTAAGATTACCAATCTTCATGTACACGCGGTCAAAAGTAGAGTCAGACAATAAATGTGTTAATGATGTCGTTGTGAACTCTGTAAGGGTCGTTGGTTGATCATTTGAGTCCAGTGCTAGACCCACAATCGTAGGCTTGAATAGCTTGCGTCGCTTTAGATTTAATTCATCAACCATCTTTTCTGAAATGAGATTTGTCTCAGACCCTGCATCCGCCAAAGCCCGGAAAGTTCTCCCATTACACGTTAGCTCCAGGATGACGGTGGGTTGTGAAGTAGGTTGGTCCACGTACCCTTCAGTTGTGGGCCCCGATGCTTCCTCTCCGCTCTCAGCTATTTCGCAAAGCTCTCGGTCAACCTCTTCATATGCTGCAATTGTGTTTGAGTCATACTCTGGGAAGGTCACTGCCGCTACTTGTGAACGCGGTGGCCGGCCCGCTGGTGGGTGGGTAGGACGACCCGCTGCGTTGGCTGATAGGGCGCAAGGAGGGGTATAGTTAGGAGGTTTTGGTGGTGCTTCATAGCCGGGGGGGAAGGTAACCTTCTCTTTAGAGAAAGTTCCCGTGCACTGCTTGTATTCACTACCACACTGCTTTTTGCAGAAGTGGCATAAGCCTAAGGAATCCAGGTACGAGTTGATTTTCCAGTAAAACTTCTGTTTGCGCTCTTCAGTCGAATCAGAGGATGGTGTGGGTCGACCAGTGGATTGGTGAGTGGCGCTCTGGTTACTCGTTTGTCTACCAGCAGTTGTTGTCAGCGGTCGGCGGTTGATTATCTTCTTCATGATCAGGTCCTCATAAATCAAATCGCAACGCTCCTCAAATCGCAGGAAATCAAAATCTTCCTTCTTCAGTGGCCCGTCTAATCATAGGGTTGACTTCAGTTCGGGAAGCATGCCTAACAACATGTGGGTTGCTAAGGTGAAATCATCAATTTCAATCTGGTCATGGTTCATGAGCAATTGGATGGAGCGGGATCGGGTGCAGAAGAATTGGAAATCTTCATTGATAGTCATCCGTAAAGTGAGAATCTTCTCTCGCAGTTTGTCGTTCCAATCGGATGGCAGAGCTGCCCGAAATAGGTTTTCTTTGAAAGCAGTCCACGATAACGACTTAAAGTTATCGATATTGTGAGCCCAAAAGGCTTGGAGGTTGGTCTCGAGGAGGTACGAGCCGGTGAGTATGATTCGATCCTTGTCCTTATCAACCTTTTTGACCATGAAGAATATCTTCAGCGAAGTAAACCATCTTAAAAACGCCTTGGTATCGCGATAAGGGCCCTTGAACTGTGGGCCATCTGATGACTTGAATTTTGAAAGGTCAAGTCCTCGGGACTCCCCTCCATTGGTTGTAGAAGGCTGGTTTGGGGAGGGTGCGTTCAACTGGAGGTTCAATAGACGCTCTTCAAGCCCAGCAATCCGCTCTTCTGCCTCTCGCGCAGCCGCTATACGCTCTTCTTCCAACCTAGCGTGGCGTTTGGCAGCTTCGTTGGCTGCTTTGATCCTCGCTGTTTGTGCCACTAGCATGGCACGCAACAGTTCATCAGTCGATGACGGGTTGGAAGGTTGCCCATCCGCTTTATTAGTCATAGTTTCGACTCTCTGAAGCGGGGAAGAAGGAAGATGTTGTGTGGATCTGATATCTTGATCGTGGTGTAACCGTTTTTCTTCATGTTGTAAGATAGACAGAGGAGATGTAGGAAAAGACCCCAGTAAGGAAGAAGCACGTAGAGGCAGTTCCTGTATTGCTGGAGTGTATGGTTTAGCTGAAGCCGGAACTGGTCTGGGAGGGACACTGGCCGACAGAACCTTATTGTGGGTGTACCTTCCCGCTTCTTCGATTGAGCGTTGTTGAAAGTGCGGAGGTAAGGTGGTTGGCTTTTGGATGAAACTTTCTGGATCGTCCACTCGAGATGTCAATTCAGTAGAGTCGCTGCGGGTCAAAACCGGCGGGGTCATAAATGATATGGAATCGAATGAAGGCAATTCACAAGGTTAGGATTGAATGCGAATAAGGTTGGATTCTTGCAAATCCGGGGTACGTTCAAGAACAAGGTTCTTCTGAAGTAGTCTGAAGTTGGGTAATTCGATTTCCAGTGTTGGTTTGAGAAAAAAAAAGTGTAAAGCACTGGAATGTCCTCACTACGAAGGAAGTCTCTCGGAGGGAACTAAGGATCAGATGCCACAATGTGGACTTGAAGTTTCTAGAACCAAAGTAGGTATGGTTTTATTATTGCTAGAAATCTGGCTCCAAAGGTAATAGAATCAAGATCAGTCTTGAGTTCCCTCTATAGGGATATACAAAGTATTATATAAAAGGAAAGAATAATATAAAAGGAGATAAGGTAATGAAAACTGCTAACCTGGCTCCAAAGGTAATAGAATCAAGATCAGTCTTGAGTTCCCTAAGGAGCCAGTCCGTGATCGTGCGCACACAGAGAGTAAGTGAAAATATGTTAAGTCTAAGTCTATGTCTAGGTCTACGTATTATATTATGTGTATGTCTGTGATGATGTATACATCATTACAAGCGGCCATGATTGTGCATCAGTGAGATGCCAATGAAACATTGAAAGTTTACACCAACTCATGGCTTTGAGTGTACTTTGTAAATCTGAAATCAAATAAAAGTTTTGACTGGTATCAAGTAAGATCCCTCTATATGGAAATGCTGGAGTGTCTTTTATCTTTAATGGTCCATATAAATATTGTAAATTAGAATCGGATTTTAAACTGTATTGGTCATGATTCGATGAGGTCTGATCGTTTGTTGAGTTTGATGAATTTGGTGTACCTAATTCTAGGTTTGATTGGATTGATAATTCATCTTGGTTTTGATTGGGTTTTGAGTCTGATTCTGATCCAGATTCTGATTGGAGTCTTGATGGTGAAGTGATATAAACAAGTTGTGAAAAGGTTTGTAAACCTCTTAAAAGACCTAATGAATTCAAAGCAGATAATAGAGCAATATTCTGTTGAAAATTCCTTGGATCGGGTCCAATTATCAATTTGTATGATTCATCTCATTCATCTAATCAAACCAAACCACAAGCCAACTCAATAAGTTTCTTTAATTTGTGAGACATTCAAAGAAAACAAACAGGTTTTACAACAAACCTAATAGTTTTAATATCTCAGATTGGATTCCATTAATCTTTAAATGATCAAAATCAAAACCTTTAGTATGATTAGTTTTAGTTTGTTTTCCCTTTTTATTATTTTTAAATTTAAGATTATTCCATGTTGATGATTTGATTGAATTCATAAACCAATTCTGATGAAACGATCTATGAATTTCTAAATCAAGTTTATAAATCAATCCAATTTTTTCATTAGCTTGTTGATTCAATCTTTCATTTAAATTGATTTCATCTTGATTTGTTTGTAAAGGTTGGTGTAAATCACTACACCGGCGGCCTTGAGGTCCGAAATATAGATGTCAACAGTGCTGGCTCCTGAAGCCGATGATTTTGAAACCGCAATCCAAATTGAAATGGGTAGTGTGGGATGAGCTAGAAGGCGGGTGTGGTCAAAAAGCTCTGAAGAGTGAGCACGACACTGAGAGGTGTATGAGAGGTATTCCAAGAGTTGAATAAAGACTGTTGACGTTGGCTGTACACTGACTTGTTTGGATTCTTGTCCATCCTTTCTAGCAGCTTGATAGCCTGCTGTAGAAGTGAGACAACTGTGATATAGAAGCAACAGAACCAAGACTTATTGAGCTGGCTATGGAGACATGAAAAGCAATTCAATGTGTAAGCAATAATCCAACTGCTTGTCAACATTGGTTGACCATCAACGGCTCAGTAGAAAAAATTCCTGAGAACATTTCTATCAGCTGCTGGAATTTGGTGAAAGAGGTAGATGAGCGCACTGTGTGAGAAGACCATGATTGGGTCAATATTGACTTGAGAAGTTTCCACCAGCTTTAGTAGGTTGATCAATTTTTCTGATTGAAGTTTACGTGCCTGAATAAGATTTAGTCAAGAAACAAAGCATGAGTAACTTATTTAAGCGACTAAAAATGAGGTAAGAGCTCAGACCATCAGATTGATTGATCACTGACCAGCTAGAAGTAACACATTTCCAATCTTGTAGTCTCACCTCATTATCCTTAGAATCAATTCCCTTGTGAGTTTTGAATGGGTGTATTGCTTTTAAATCTGTCGGTATAGGCATCGATGAATTTGCAGATAGAGTTATATCTTGAGGGTTGATTGGGGTTTGAGTGTCAATTCTAGATATTAATTGAAAAAGCATTTGATTAGGCGGTAGTCAAGACATGAGTATGTCGGGTAACGTGAGTCAAAAGAGACAGTGGGTGAAGTGTGAAGGAGTGAGATAAGGGAATCAAGAGAGTCAATGAATGGTTGAAGGTATGGATTAGAGCATTTACCAGAGTCAGAAACATTGACTGCTCATAAACTCAACAAAGTCCCACGCTGCGTCTCGCACGCTTCGAGCGCAGCGAGGGACTTATGACAACGAGGCACACTTTTGCCTGTGAGGGGAACCAGTTTTTGCAGGAGAAATTTGCCTTCCTTATAAAACTTTTTCCCCTATTTGTGAAAAATCGAGATGCAAAGAAATGAAATGTTCGCCTCTATGAGGCTCATCGATTGATCCAAAAAAATCTCGAGGAAGCCGAGGAATGTCCTTTCAGATTCCTTCTGAAGTTCAGGATTTTGGAGTGTTTTCGAGTGTTTTGACCTGTATTTGACCCTCGAGAGTGGTTTATACATACGAATACAAGGCAATTTCATCAAAAACTTCAAACTTCAGAAGCCAATGCCTTCACTAGAGCTTTTATTGCTGTGTCTACACCTGATGGATATTCTTCTGCATGAAAAAGATGCCACACCTTTATCCCTGCGATGTAAGATTTCAGAGTTGTGTACTTTACTGACTCATCTTCTGCCGCTTTCTGTACGCTCTTCTTTGATGCCCAGACCACAAAAAGTTTCATCAAGGTAGGCGAAATCGGCAGTAGCTTCGACTTTTCTATGTTCTTCACTACAGCAAATCGATGTAGTTTTACGATGCCTGAGTTGTAACTTTTCAAAGTTCCATCTCCCCACGATCCACGTAAGTAATGAGATTTCACTTCGTCTATGTCTGAATCGTCTATTCCTAACGCATTTTTCTTGAACGCTCCAAAGGGTTTCGTCACTCTCTTCAAATCTACCTCTTGTATTCCGTTCGGTGACACTCTCCTCGGCATTACTGAACATCGGTCCATCAGCTCAAATCTTGATCTCTCAGAAACCAACAGCATCAGAAGCTCACCGCTATTTCAGATGTCAAGTACCAATTTCGGATTCTTCTTCGGTGGGAAAACTTGCTTCAGCAAATGTTGAAGGTCGGTCGGGACTTGTACTAGGACTTCTCTAAACCACAATAGATCTCCGAGATAGCCTCTGGAAAGTGCGTCTGCCACATTTCCTTTTGATGTGACATGTTTCGCTTGTATGTCACAAGCTAATACTGTAAGTAACCGTTGAATTGCTTTCCATTCCTCATTCACCATCTTATCCTTAGACTTCCTCTTCTTCACTGTCGATTGGGATGTGGTATTATCTGTCCACACAAGGAATTTCATTCCTACAACCCACATTTTGTGTTAGGTATGTGCTTATCACTAATTGACTGAGATTTTTACTCACCTTCTATTTTCTTTACTTTTTGTAAGACAAGTAGGCCCAACCGTATTGCAACCGTCTCAGCCCACGCGATCGAACGTTTATCCCCAATCAAGCCTAGACATTGCCAACCTTGAGTCAGTTCGAAGCATGCCCAATAATCCCCAATTAGTATGCCTATCCCAAAGGACGATGAGGCATCGCCTACCCAACCAACTTCCGTTGCTTTGGGAGAGGGAATAATCTGTCGTGAGTTAAAGTTTTTCAAGACCCAATACCACTCTTTCACATCCGCCTTTACGCTCTCTGATGTGTACCTTAATGCTGATTTGTTCCTCCAGCTCTTCATCCATCGATAGAATGAGTTCAAATATGCTTTCATATGCGGTACTATGTGCACCGTATGCACTAGTTTCCCCACGATGCTCTCCACCCTGTTTAGAGCCCATTTTGTTTCTGGGTTGAGTAGGTCGATAATTAGTTGAAGTCTTTCATTCAACTTCTCTCGCGGTAGTCTAACCGTATGATCATGTCCATTCCAGATAAACCCAACGAACTTTTGTTCCGCCGCGAAGTCATGGTTTTTCACCGGGTTCGTCGCAACTCCCAAGTCATTGCTCACTGCCGTAACATCTGCTAATGATACTTGCTGATTCGGTCTCTTCAACATTAAGCTATCGTCTACCCAACGGAATAAAACAATCTTCAAGATCCGTTCAATCACGATTTTCCAGATATGCGCCGGAGCCCCGAAAACGCCACAGCTCGCTACACCACCGAATCCTACCGCTAAATCCACCCAAAGTCGATTATAAAAATCTAGAATGCATAGGTAGTGTCTTTGGCACGGATGTATTGGAAGCTGTCTGTATGCTTTTTGCCAATCGAAGATGGCTACATCCCAAATCCCTGGATTATCTTGAAAGAACCTAGCAACTCGGTTAAAATCATCCCAATACGTGCCATAGTTTAGTTTATTAACAAACGAGTTTACTGATGGTATGCCTTCTCCCTTCCTAGGAAACGACAAATCATTCACCATTCGGATAGAACCATCACTATTGACCGCACTACCCATTGGGTTCGACCGGAAAAAACCAAGCTTCTCATATAACTCTTCGTGAGTAAAAGGACCAGCGATCCTTCCTGCTACCCATTCCTTCTTCAACGTCGCTTCTATTTGCAACCTCGCTTCTAGGGCTGACTTATGATTCTCGGGGGTGTACCATTTTAAACCTGGTACCTCATGTTGTGGTATTCCTAAACAGAAACCGTTTGTGAATCCATCCACTATATACGGTATATCCTCGTGGAGTCCTACTGCTTCCATCAAAGTTATCCACTCCTTTACAACCATCTTACACGTCACCGGGGCTGGCCAAGGATTATCTACCGGTACTGTGAATAGTTTCCTTTGATTGAGAGGTAAAGGAATCTTTTTCTGTCCTTCGTATTCTTCTTCTTCCAAATCATCTAAACTCGAAACACTCTCTACAGACTCTTCTTCAAGACTAGACTCTAGGGCCTCTCCACTCTCCTCTTGTGAGACCACAGCCAGGTCTGGACGCTTGGCCTCAAGCTCTCGCTGACTCGAAGGATCAATGGAACTGAGATTGCTGCAATGTAAATGGAAATTTCACAATCTCTGACTCAGAACATAATTTTTCGTTGATTTCTCTCACAACTAACAAATATTTAAGAACTAACACATCGAATTCACACAACCCAAGAGGAACAGAAAAGATTTCCCCATACATCGACAGTTTCCATGACAAGATACAAGAAGAAAATAAATTCCCATGCAGATAGGTTACGCCGATTTCCGGAATTTAAAACACAAAACGTAAAAGTGTTTTCTCAGCCTTCCGTTCCCATCATTCTTCATATGAACCAAAATCTGACTCACGTAGTTGGATTTTCTTCTCTCGTTGTTGCTTTCGCATTGTATTTACCACCTTTATTGTGGTAGTTTGACTTATAAGAACCTGAAGCTACCGGAGCTGAAGTCTCTGGCCCTGCTTGGTTTTCTGAAAAATCACCGTCAAACGCAAACGTTTCAATATGGGTACTCTTGGTGTATGTCTTCACTTGAGACATTGAATTAAAGACTCACCGCTCTTGTTCGAAAGGTATGTATTCTTCTTTACATATGGCTTCTTATAGCCACCCCTTTTTCCCCGAAAGTTTGCGGTCGAAGAACTTTGATGTTGATTGTCACTTGACTTCTCTGCTGGTTTTGACGTAGCTGACTCCACTTTCTGTCTACCTGTCGTAAAACTAAAACCAAACTTGGGGCCTCCTACAGCATATGGATTATCTTCGAATTGAAGATCTCCTGCACGATCAGCAAAGAATCTGGCGTCCGCTTCAACTTTCGGTTGTAAACCTCTCGGTAAACGAATCTTGTCCCTATACACTGTCTTCCCATTTTCTTTCACCTTCGTGACTTTACGACGGCGGAAGATCACCGTTCTTACAGCTAAATGATAACGTAGGCCGACCATCCAACATAGGTATTTCTTCTTCAAATCGGACACTATTTGCTTATGTCTAACAATGTAGTCCGCATAGCCATCCAACTGATAGATTTCTCGAGCATAACGTTCTTCTAAGTCGCACATCTCTACAAAGTCTCCGAAGGTGATTTGTTTCTCTAGCATTTTCTGAGAAGGTCTCGACTTGTCTTTCTTTTCTTTCATTTTCTCATCATCATCTTCATCGTTGTAGGTATCAAGAAAAGACTTCTTGAAGACTGATAAAGGAACATAGGATCGAAGACGTTTGAAACCTTTGTCCCACTTCTTAGGTAAGTCAGGTAAGTCTGCAGAATCAAAATCTACTAAATCATAATCTAATTCTGCCTTCTTAGCTCTTTCTGATTCGTCTGAGCTAGAATCCTCTGAGGAAGACGATTTGTTCGAGTCTGAGTCGGACGAGTCTGCTGGAGGGGTCGAAGATTTCCTCTTCTTAGACTTGGAGCGTTTCTTCTTGTTCTTCTTAGACTTGGAGTCATCAGAATCGCCCTCAGATGAGTCGTCGCTCGGTACGTTTCTTTTCTTCTCTTTTTGTTTCTTTTGCTTCTTCTTAGGTTTCGAAGCATCTGAATCACTAGAAGAGGGCTCTTCGTCTGGACCATCATCCGTCCTTCTCTTGTCTCTCTTTGACTTTGTCCTTTCAGCTTTGGTCTTGATTTCTCTAGGTCGAGAGCTCTCTCCCTGATTGGTTCCCGAGATCGCCGCCAGAAGCCTAGAAGACTCTGCTTCAGCTGATCGGTCGACTACGTCGGACTGTTCTTGACGAGTTTGAGCGCTAGGCAAGTTTTTCGGAGTCGACTTCCCTTTTGGAGCAGGGGGATCGCAAGTCATGGAAACCAAAGACCCAAAGGACATATTGAACATGTCCATCGCATTCCGAGCGGCTGGTCCATTTCTGGTATCTAACGCATGCGTTAGGGCTTCTAGAATCGATCTGCTTTCTGAAGTAGCCTGGATTGGTTCCGCAGATGCATTCGCGGATTCCTTCCTGAAAAACTCCCTAAGAGCTAAAGAACACCCCAAACGAGAGGAACTATGTAAGTTTGTTATCTCTTTCCATCTATGTTATCCTCTATAAGACATTGACAAGACCAATTGGTCCGTCCATTTATTTCGAAATGTCAAACTACTGTTTATGAGATCAGTCGACCATATTTTTAATCATCAATGAATCATAAATTTCTGGTTTCTGCAAGTCACTAGAACTTGTCAAACAAACTGACTCTCCCTTTTGCCAACCATCTCGATATGGACTTATCAGGGGTTCGACACGTCGTTTCTTGAGCGCCTAGGGCAGCTACTTCCAACTGGTATTCATGGCTTACCCGAGCCTTCTCTGTCGTCTTCGTTAGGCGCTTCCCAAGAGCAGCCCTCGACAGACAGAGAACCAGTCATGACTTACGGCGCTACAGCAGCCTGCATCCTCAACACCAGATTCCGCATTCTCTCCATGGCGCACAAGTGGCAGCCAAACAACGCTTCATCACCTGGTGTAAAAGGTAGATATGGGTGGAAAAATTTTTGGATTGGGGGAAAGAGGAAAGGATAGGCTGAGAAAATTCTTGACATCAGGTGTTTGAAACATACCATCTACTGGCAAGGAACTAAAAGGTATTTCTCCTGTCTCTTCAGCCGGACCTTTTCCTTTCTTAGCCTCCTCTTGACGGCGACTTTCTTCCTCTCTCCAACGATCCATCTTCTCTAACTCTCTCTTCTTGAGTTCAGCAGGCTTCACATCCGCCGTATCTGAGTCAGTCTCTCCACTCCCATCTTCATCACTACCTTTCTCCCGTCGAGGTTCGCCTTCACCTTCCTGCATTACTCGTTCTCTTTCTTGATCTTTCGATTTCGGTAAGCGGGACTCAGCTCTTCGTTGTCGTTCTTCCGCTTGTTCTTTCTCTTTTGCTAACTTAGCTGCTTTCTTATCTTCCTCTTGCTTAGACGTCGACACCATTTCTTTTCGTTGAGTTTTCTTGAGGATCAAACTTTCAAGTTGTCCTTTGTTCATTTTAGAAAGAAAAAATTAAACTCTTGTCTAGCGAAAAATTGGGGGAGAATTTCCAGAAGTTGTATAGATAAGAAATGTTCTTGTTCCTACTATCAACGCTCGGACCGCAACTTAATCTACCGTAGCGTGGTGGAGAATCCATAACGCTACGGTAGAGCGTTGTAAGTCACTACCGCTCCGTACCGTTAAGTGTAGACCACCGTATTGACCCTTCGACTTTGGTACGGTCCGACCGTAACGCGCCGTACCGTAACCGGTATTTTTGGCTCGAACAACGGTCATGACGGTGGTTTTTTTTAAAAAATGTACAAGAATTTAAATTTCAAAGAAAAGTTCGATACAAAGGAAGTGGAACGAGAGACAAGAGATCGATGAACAAGAATAGAGAGGAGAGAAAGCCAAGTAAAAAAAACAAATTGTTACATTACACAGTAAATTGTATAATGAAAAACATAAATATCAAACAATCAATTACTTCTTTACCTTCTTCTTCAGCTGTGCCTCGTGTTCTTTAAGGTACTTTACCGCATCTTGAAACTTATCTGTGGGTACGATTCCGCACTTGATCCACTCTCTACAACCCACCTTCCGAGTGATAGTATTTGGAAGGATGGAACCTTGACCCGGTGCAGCAACGTCTGCAGCCGAGGAAAACGAGCGCTCAACACAGCAAGTGGTTGCCGAGATGGACAAGTAGTCCCGTGCCATCGAAGCCAGCACCGGAAAGGACTTCTCATGTTTCTGACAAAGTTACATAGTCAGATTGGTTTATCACTCTCAAGACTCCATTCAAAGAGACTTACTCTCCACCAGTCCAAAGGTTTTTTGTCAGGCAATATTCCAAACTTTCCTGCCAAATAATCCACCAGCTTATGTTCATATTGAGATGTTGGTGCAATATTATCGGACCCAGCCGCAAACATATCAAATTCGTCGATCGCAGTAGGTACTATTGAAAACCCGTAGTCAACTGTTATGACTACGGGTTTCGGTACGGTTACCGTTGTCAATTGACGGCGTTCTCGTTATGTCTACCGTAACCACTTTTGCCTACATGTGGTTACGGTACGGTGGTACCGTACTGCTCAACGGGCCAGCACGTTACGGTGCAGACCGTGCCGTAACGTGCCGTTTCCCGTTTTCATCACGCTGAGGTCCTAGCGTTGCTACTATTTTAAAGAAAAAAGGAAATTCCTTAGAACCGTATAGTCTACGTTTGTAAGGAAATGATTTAGAGAAAGTGTCGAGAATGGAGCTAGGAAGTGATTTGGACTGGAGATGAAAATTTTTCTCCTCTAGTTCAAACTAGGCGCCACTTCTTTGTGGTCACTCGACCCGAGTTGCCTCGGGTCGCTGCTCTTCCCGACACTCGTCCCACCTCGTGTAATGGACTGTATGTTACCGTCACAAGCTTGAGGGTAATCTACCATTTTTAATTAGATGACATTCTTATTATCATCATGTTCTAGATCACAAGTTTCAAATCAAATAAATATGAAACACATGCAATAGAAAGAAATAGACGCAAATGATGAAAATGATCAAAGTGAAGATTATCGAGGTTGAGAGCTAAAAGGAGACAATTAGAGCGGCGAGATTATGATTGATTGATTGGTTTAACTAAACTAAAACTCAAAACAAATCAAGAACATGAACAGTAAATGATGACAAGTAGATTGAAAAGAAAGTACTTACCTACAACAGAGGAGAAATAAAACTATGTAAAACGATTAGAACTTACGATCAAATCAAGTCGGAGGAACGGAATCGAATTGAAAGGAAGTTATAAATGAGCAGAAGAAGTGTAAAGTGCCAAGACAACAAGGGAATTGAGTACTTGAAAGGAAGAAGAGAATAGTTGGTATCGCGTTGAAAAGGAAGGAGATAAGAGATAAAAGGGACTCACAATTATCAGTTGAAGATTGGTGTTAAATATTGAGATTGAATCAAAAAATAAATCGTAGTTGTAATAGGTAAATAGATTGAATGAAAACTTTTAGTGGTGTAGTTGAGTCGGGGTTGGAAGGAGATAGTGAGGGGGAGTTCTAGGAGTTGGTCGGAGCGAAATGAGAAAGGATCGGTTGGAGTTTTGAGGAGTTGTACAATATATAAGGAGGGGGTTTGAAGGAATGAGGAGGGATCTAGCCATCGATCAATATGGGTATGTGTAAGGTTCTCGTGAGAACCTTCACTAGCGTCCGGATGTTTAATCCGGCACGACTTCTCGAGAGAGCACACTCGGACAATTAACTTGGAACTTCGTTATATGAATTACGAGCTGGTTCCAGAAAGTCCAGTAATAGGCTCTCAGAGGAGTCAGTAAAGAGAACTAATGAGAATAAAACAAGATAAAAGCAATTAAAAAGAACTAAGCTCACCTGGTTCCAGAAAGTCCAGTAATAGGCTCTCAGAGGAGTGAGGACTTTCCGGAACCGGGCGTGGAGCAAGAAGATATAACACCACCTAACTAATCCCATGATCCAGAACCCATGAATGTACTTGTGTAACCCTTACACCCTTCCTTCCTAAAAATCTTTGTCCAACCAGTCTTAAAA